TATATATATATATGGTAGAAATGAAGCAACAAATCCAAAAACTTCCAAACTTTACGCTTTTTCCCCCAAGATCAAGCAACAGTTTCTGTGGGAAGCACCGCTCCCAGGAAAAAAGAAAGTTGCGTGACAATTTCAAATATTGGCTAAACTCAACGCACAAAGCAATAAATATTATTATATAGGGTGATTTTCCCCCCTTTTGTGTCCTTGAAGCAAACCGCCTCTCCAGAAGTGGACAAGAAAATCGAGGAGTACAAGAGAGAAAACCCGGGCATGTTCAGCTGGGAAATCAGGGACAAACTGCTTAAAGACGGCATCTGCGACAGAAACACCGTMCCTTCAGGTGAATTCAGTAAAAATATGAATCCAAAAATATGTATTTGTTTGAATGTTTTATGAGCGTGCGTCATTGACTGATAGGCCTGCAGTTTTCAAAGTTTTCCCAACTTGTCCTTTTTTTTCTTCCTCCAAGTGAGCGCCATCAGCCGCGTGATGCGCTCCAAGTTCGGCGGAGTCGGTGAGGAAGAGGAGGAAGAAGAAGAGGTGGAGAGGAGGACGATGGACGAAAACGAACCTCGGACAAAACACAGCATCGATGGCATCCTGGGAGACAGATGTGAGTTTAACTCCAGTGTGCAGATGAGATTTTAAATGGCATTATTATTATTATTATTATTATTATTATAAATAATAATGTTTTTCCCTGAATGTCTGCATCTGCTTTTCTTCAGCTATGTTTTTTTTGTGTGCATACTTTTGATGAAAGGTTTGAAAGTTTTGTCCACCAGTTTATCCAACGTAAACATATCATTATTATATTTTATTATTGTATTTTAAACTACATTTACTTTTACGCATAAAACTATCAAACGTTAAAATATGTTTTTTAACAGTTTAGTTTTCAATAAATAAATAAATACAGCCAAACAACCAACGAACAGAACAAACAAACATTTGTCTAACTTTTCAAGGTTGAGAAACCTTTTTTTTTTCGTCTTCTTCACTTAATCGGATACTTGAGGATGGACTTCAGGGAACAAAGCGCGGAGAGTCCATTGAAACTCGCACCTCAGTCTGACGCGCACAAAAGCCAAAGTGCAGTGAGTGGCTCAGTGGTGTACAAAAAAAAAGAAGTGCCAGAGCTTTTCAAAATGAGGAGAGAAAAGAAGGGAGAGGGACTGTGCTGACAAAAGAGGGAGAGAAGACATTCTGGACCCGCAATGAGCGATGAATTATTCAGGGACACCAATAGGCCCAGTGGTTTATTTTGGGTAAAAAAAAATGTCATTTTTGACTATTTTTTTACCCCCTTTTGTCAACAGTTTGTATTAAAGAGGGAGAAGCCAAGCCTTTAGGCGAACACATGTTGATTTACAACCTGTTGGACTGATCAGTTGCAAGTAAAAATGAACAAAACCAATTCAAGACACAATAGAATCAATAATTATTAACCAGATCTCCAGAAAAAAACGCAGTTTTTTTGCACTGATGAACTACCCGATTTGTCAATATATTATCATTTCAGTTTTAAGAGACTATAGAAAAACGTTTGTCTGGAGTATAGACCAAAAAAGTGGCTGCAGCTTCAGCTCAAATCGAACTCTTTGGTCACTTTTACGCACGGATTAATTCATTAATTAATTTATTTTTAGTCTTTACGCAGCGAGTCGCCCTCAGCCCGGTGCGCTCAGGAAAAAAACTCTTCTCCACACTAGATTAAATCCAAACCTTTTATTCGTCCCACACTTCCATCTCTGACCAAGTCCGCCCCATCTACAGCC